GGGGACGGAAAATGGCCGTGGAGCACGTGTCGGGGGTGGAAAATGGCCGCGGACCACGTGTCGGGGACGGAAAATGGCCGTGGAGCACGTGTCGGGGGTGGAAAATGGCCGCGGACCACGTGTCAGGGGCGGAAAAATGGCCGCGGACCGTGCCACCGGAGGGAAAATGGCCGCGTATCCTGTTCGTACCCCGAGGCGGAGTTCGCAAACCGAGGTAAATTTTTGCGGCCGGAGCTGGTCGTAACCCGAAAAGTTCGCTAACAGGCGTTCATAACCCGAGGTACCACTGTACTGTAGATCAGTATCTCTAAGCCATGGTTTGATGTGAGTGATGCTGGTGCGTCTCTTCTCTTAAATCATGTTTTGTCCAGGCAGAGATTATGCCAGACCGTCTTCACACATCCTTAATCATAGTTTGAAATCATTTCCCAATGGTATTGTATGATAGTTTCTCATGACCACATTAATTCTTTCTTTTTGCTTTCTGATAGACCTCTCTGGGTAGAATATCCCCAGGATCCCACTGTGTACAGCATTGATGACCAGTATCTGCTTGGTAAGTTTTTGTGTGTGTGTGAGAAGGGCAAAGATGAAGGTTCAGTTGTTCTACTTCCTGTCCCTGGTGCCTAAACCCCAGAAGTCTTTTGATTCCTGTCATTTTCAGCTGAGAATTTTCATTTCTGAATTAAAATATGTTTTCTAATCAGACGGGAGGGGACTCCTTTGATTTCAGTAGGTTATAAAGGACAGAAATGGTCTTTTTTGATCCGTATTTCAGAGGGGCCTCTTGTGGGATTAAGCCATTGGGGGACATTTTGTCTATTGACTCTCCTGTTAAAATGCCAGTCTCTGAATAATTAAAAATGAAGCATTTGACAGTGCTAGAACTCGAGGCATTCTATAGAAAGGCTTTGGGGAATGTTGACAGCACGTGACTTATACTATCTTGTTTTAGTTCTTGGCCTTATTCAGTAAAGTCGCCATTTCTTCATCTGTTGGACTACAATTCCCACGACTCTTTGACCACTGTTGGCTGGGAGTTATGGGAGTTGACGCCCACTGCCCCAAATTCAATTGATTTTATTCCTTTTTCAAGGGGCTTCCTTTAGAGTTGGCGGTGCTGTTTGAATTTGAAACTAGTTTTTGAAATACCGTAAGCGGTCCGTTCAAGTTTCTAGACCTCATGCTCATTGACCAATCTCCCTTGCAGGCAATGCCTTGTTGGTTCATCCAGTAACAGCACAAGGAGCTCGAGGCGTGCAGGTCTACTTGCCTGGCAAAGGAGAGGTGAGATTGGTGGATTTGAAGCCAAGTGTTACACTGGCTGGGGGAAAACTCCTTTAACAAGGAGCGTGTTATATGCATGTCCGTATTTAGAAGAATTTTATGCTGCCTTTCTGTTCGGTAGAGCAAGTACATTATTGCCAAATAAACCATTCAGCCTCGGTGCCCTCAAGCACAACTTTAAAAACCACAAATTCAGGTTCAAAAACTCGCTGTGGGCAGAGAATGCTGGAACTTCTCCCGATCGACTTTTTGTGCTCTTAAAGAAACACAAATTCACCTTGGTTGCCTGGCCCTGTTTCAAGCAAAGCACTCCAGCACTGTCAAGACTTTTGCATGGATCCAGATCCCAAAGCCCTCTAATACATTCTCTTGGCAGGTTTGGTACGATGTCCACACCCACCAGAAACTCCACGCACCCCAGACCCTTTATTTAGCAGTCACCATGAACAGTGTAAGTTGAAGATTTCAGGGAGAGGATGCATCGCAGAATGGAGGGGTGCTCCTCAGAGACAGGTCAAATTTGGGGGGGGGAGCACAGAAATCTCGCTATCGGCTGAGGAGTGGTGATTTTTCCCAAAATCACCCACCCTACCTGAGGATGTTGGTAGCAGGAAACCGTCCTGAACTCTGACCTCAACCCCTTCCCACAGATTCCGGTCTACCAGCGTGGCGGCAGCATTGTGGCTCGGAAAGAGCGGGTTCGACGTTCTTCAGACTGCATGCAGAACGATCCTTACACGCTCTACGTGGCTCTGGGGCCTCAGGTGAGAATGGAAGGAGAGGAATGGATACGTTTGGGAGGCTGCGCTGTGCTGTCCAGTCTGGGTTAACATCAAGGGCCAGTCAAGATTCTAGCAAGGATTCAACCCTGGTCACTGGAGATACACAGCCACGGTTTTCTCCCGTAGGCAAGCAAGGATGTTGGGAACTTAAGCCACAGCTCTGCAGTGGGGAGAATGGGCCCTAGACTTGGGTCCCGCTTTTCTGCTCTCTCTAAAACACCCTGCTCTAGGATGGGCTTTTTCCAGACGTGTGGCTTTCACTTCCCAGAATTCTCAGCCCGTCCCATGCTTCCTGGGGAATGCTGGGAGTTGAAGCCTCTGGCGAAGGATAGCGGGTCTTGAGGCAGAGGTTGAAAAGGCCCAGAAGAGGCCCTGCAAAAGGGATTTGCCCAAGACGGATGTTCCCTGTTCTCAAGGACAGTCTTGTGCTGGGATTAACCATTTGGCTCTTTGCTTTTCTGCCGTTCCAATTCCTCCCAGGGGACCGCACAAGGAGATCTTTTCGTTGACGACGGGCACACGTATAACTTTGAGACGAAAGGACAATATCTGCACCGCCTCTTCCGTTTCTCTGGCAACATGCTGACTGCCAGGTATTCAGTCTAGGATTTTTTTTCCTCCTCCCCCCCCCACTTCCATCTGCAATCCTTTTTAGTAATGTTTTTAACTAATGTTTTATGTATTTATATATATTTATGTTTTTAATATTTGTTGTGAGTCGCCCAGAGTTCCCCCATTGGGGGGAGATGGGCGGTTGAAAAATTAAATAAACAAACAAATAAATAAATATATAAAAAATCCCCTTTTGTTCTTGCTGAACTCCCCAACTTTTCTTTCAGCACTGCAGATCCAAAAGCCAGCTTTGAAACCCCGGCCTGGATCGAACGGGTGGTGATCCTGGGAGCGGGGAAACCCGCGGCGGTGTTCCTCAAGCAAGATGGTGAGTTGGTGGGGAGGGAAAAGTCGCAGCGTCTTTATTTTTCTTTTTCATGGGGGAGAGAGGAAGGGAAGTTACAGGTGAGTCTTTACACCCCATTTGTCCTGGCTCAGATCCCAGTATCACCAGTCAGAACTTGCAGATTGCAGCTCGCTCAAAGGAGGTAGATGTAGAAGTCAGGAACGAATGCTAAAACCCCTGACCGGCATCCCAGCTTTAGATTTTAGTTCAGAGATGAGGATTGATGGAGCAAGCCATCATACGGTCTGTTCACTCTTGGTGCTGTGGTTTGCAAACGGATTCAGCAAAGGAAGGAGGAGAGATTTGCTGCTGTGGTGTATAGATCGGTTCTCCACACTTTTAGGGAGGGAAAAATTTGGAATTACTAGCCAAATCCCAGCCGCAGATGGTCCCCTCTCTCTTTCCTTCCTCCTCCCCCCTTAATAATTAATACCCACCTCCCTTAACATTAACATTCAAGGGGAACATTCTTTCAAAACTGAATCGTAATATGCCTGTTGCTCGGTATTTTATAGGATTTGAGGTGGGGGAAATAGGATAATCTAAGATAGGTTTGGAGAGCTTCCATCTCTTTTCTTCTTCAAAATGTTCCCTGAGGCTATGGGGATGTCAGCCTTGCCCTCTTGCTGAGACTTGCCCTCTCCCTCCTCTCTGTCTCCCCCCCCCCACTTTCCAGATGCAGCAGAGACTCGCCTGGATTTCACCCACGAAGCCGAAACGTCTGTTTTAACCATCCGCAAGCCCGCCGTCAATGTCGGAGCAGACTGGAGCATCTCACTACGATAATGGCACGAGGCGGGGGCGGGGGAGACAAGAATTAGCTGGGCAGAGGGGCAGGGAGAGGTTGAGGTGGGGTTGAGAAGGTCTGGGTCAGGAGCATCCCTGATATGTGGAGTAGGTAGATCTGGAAGCTCCCCACCGCTACTGTATCTCAGGTCCAGTGTTCCATTCCAGAAGGCATGACATGGAAGAGGAATATCTTTCTCCTTCTCCTCTGAACCCTTCCCTCCCTCCCTCCC